TTTCCCTTACCCCCAGAATTAGCACCATACCATTTGGCCACCACTGTCTCCCATGCCCTGCCCCCCATGAATCTCTCTACCCCCCCCCCCAAATAAATCTCTAAGCCCCAACCCCATACCAGACTTGTCTGTTCTGGAAATTTCATATAAATGGAACCATACAATGGGTGGACATTTGTGCCTGCTTTCTTTCATTTAGTTAAATGATTTCAGGGTTTATCCACATTAGAGTAGGAATTAGTACTTCATTTCTTTTATTACCAAATAATTTTTTGTTTATGAGTATGCAATATCTTATTTACCTATTCACCAGTTGGTGAGCAATTGAATTGTTTCCACTTATTATATCCTTTTTAAAAGCTTTACTTTTTACAAATGGAACTTCAAAATCAAATAATGAATAATAATGTTTAATAAATAATATTATATAATAATAATATATTATATACAAGTAAATATAAATCATATAAATTATATAATAATTATTCAAATTATAATACATTATACAAATAACATTATATATAATAAATATAAATAATATATATAATAATAAATAATATTTTAGTCCACCACCAGTGCTCCCATTTTTAGTGTATAGTTTGATGAGTTTTAGGAAATGTGTACATTTACAGTCATAAGAACAATCACATTTGAAAATGCTTTCATCACCTTAAAAAATTTCCTCTTGCTTCTTTCCAAACTATCCTGGATCTATCAAACCAGAAACTGCTCTCACCTCTGGCCTGATGATCATTTTGTGTCACTATAGTTTTGATTTTCTGAAAATTCTCAGTAAATACACTTATGTAATACATAGTCTTTGTGTTTTCCTCTTTGCTTTTTGCATGATGTTTCAGAGATTCATCCATGTTGTTGTATGTATTCATAATTCATTTCTTTCTATTACTGTAAGGATACAAAACTTCACTTATTTATGCACCTATTGAATGAAATTTGAATTTTTCTAATTTGGGGCTATTATAAATGATATTGCCATGAGAGTTTGTGTATAAATCTGTCTGTGGAACACATGTTTTCATTTCCCTTGGTACACACCTAGAAATAGAATTCCTGAGTTGTATGTGATAAATGTAAGTTAATTTTTTAAGAATGTGCCAAACTGTTTTCCAAAGTATTTATACCATTTTACATGCCTAGGTACAGCCTATGAAGGTTCTAATTTTCCATATCCTTGCCAATGCTTGACTTTGTTAGTTCTTTTGTATTTAGCTATTCTGATGAGAATTGAGTTTTTTATTATTGAGACATCAATCCCCAATACTACTGATATGTGTATAATATGTAAAATATATTAAATATACATATAATATTTTATCTCAGTATATGGGCTTACTTTTTCATTTTATTAATGGCAATATTTAAATAGGAAGTTTATAACTTAGATGAAGGCTAATTAGTGATTTTTTGCTTATGATTCACGTTAGTTGGCTATATCCATAAGTCTAAGATTGCAAAAATTTTTGTCTTCCTTTCCTAAAATTTTTGTCTTCCTTCTTTTCCTATGAACTCTCAAATTAACTCTTTTGAGTTAATTTTTGTGATATCATGAGGTGGAAAGTTGAGAAGTTCACTCTTGTTTGCTCACAGATATCCAAAATATTCTAATTTAGTTTAGTGAAGACTGTCCTCTTACCCACTGCATTACCTTGGGTTGAATTGCCTTCAACTTTGTCAAAATTCTATTGACCCTATTTTGGGTGTCTACTTCTGGAATCTGCATTGTTGCCTGAGTATGTGAGAATAAAGTCTGTCATTTAGCTATTGACATATTACTTACTGTAGTGTATTGAACATCTTGAAATTAGGTCCTAGAAGTCTTTCAACTTTATTTTTCTATTTCATAATAATTGTATTGATTATTGTAAGTTGTTTGCATCTTATGTAAATTTATAGTCAGATTTTCAATCTGTTCAAACAAATATGTGAATGTTTTGGTTGATATTGTATTAAATCTGTACTGAGCATTATAGTAGCTATAAGCCCATATGACTATCTAAATACAAATTTTAGATTTTAAAATAAAAAATTAATTTCTTTGTTGTACTAGCTATTAGTTGCCTGTGGTTTGTAGCTATCATATTGGCTCCGAATTTTAAACACTATTGAGCAATGGGAAAAATGGGTTAAACTACCATCTTAATGATATTGAATGTAATAGTGACAGTATATCTCTCCCTTTGAATAGAATGAAATTATTGGTTTCATTATTTTTTTCTGTAGTGATATGTTTCCTATTTCATTTATTTTTGCTGCACTCTTTATTATTTGTTACTTAATACTTCATGTCTGATTTGCCTTTCTTTTCATGTCTAAGATAGTTACTTTGGTTATTGATTTTAAGCATTTATTGCTTATAAGATAAGCATCTAAAGCAATTTTTTTCTAAATACTGCTTAGCTATATTCCATACATTTTAATGTTTTATTTTTACCTAGTTCAATCCATATTTTTTTCTAATTTTCTAATTTTTTATTTCATAAATTTGGTAGAATTATTATATTTAATTTATGTGGATATTTCACATATTCTTTGGTATTTCTATTTTAATTATGGCCTTTTTTATATCCAAAATATATTATAGGCTGGGTATCATGGTGCACACATGTGATCCCAGCTACCTAGGAGACTGAGGCAGGAGATCACAAGTTCCAGACCAACCTGGGCAACTTAGCAAGACCCTGTTTCAAAATAAAAAATAAAAAGGGCTTGTGTTACAGTTTAGAGTTCTTTTAGCATGCACTAAGATCTAAGTTTAATTTCTAATACTGCAAAAAACAAAAAAAAATATAAATTAGGTTCATTATTTCTAGTTTTCATAATTTTAATTATATGTGTCAGAGAATATAACTTCAAATGGTTTATTCCTTTTAAATTTTTCAAAACTTCATTGATGTCCTTGTGACTATTCCATGTACAATTGAAAATAGTGTGTGCTTCACTATGTTGAAGTGAAGTATTTTATATATGTCAATTAGGTGAAGTTAATTGAAGGGAGTTGTTTGGGTCTTTTGTATCCTTATCTATTTTCTATTTATTTGTTTTATATGTTTTACTCAGGGAGAGGAATTTTGAACTCTCCAAGTATGATTATTGAATCATTTATTCTTATTTCAGTTCTGTCAGATTTTCCTTCATGCATTTTTGTTCTATGTTTTATGTGCATATACATTTATTCTTTTAAAATGTATTTACCTGATTTATATCCTCTTAAAAATATACTTGTTCTCCGTAGCATTTCTTATGTTAAAAATGTATTTTATCAGGGCTGGGGTTGTGGCTCAGCAGTGGAGCACTCACCTAGCATGTGCAAAGCCCTGGGTCCGATCCTCAGCACCACATATAAATAAATAAATAAAGATTAAAAAATCTATTTTGTCTTATACTAATATAGCCACTTGAATTAATATGCATGTGGTGTAGCTTGTTCAACTGATTATGTCTTTGGCTTTCTAGTTCCTCTTTTGTTAATTGTATATTTCTCTTTCTTTTTAACCCAATCTGATGATTTCTGACCATAATTATAGAGTGTTTATCCCATTCATGCTTAATGAAATTATTGATACAGTTGGGTTTTAGGTCTGTTTTATTTGTTATGTCTCATTTTTAAAAAAAAAAAATCTCTTCTTTTTTATTTAAATAGCTGTATTTAATTCATTTATTTTTATGTGGTGCTGAGGATTGAACCTAGGGCCTCACACATGCTAGGCAAGCACTCTACCACTGAGCAACAGCCCCAGCCCTTAATCTCTTCTTTATGGTTTCCTTTTATTGTTAACCAATCCTGATTATTACACTATCTAATTCCTCTACTGACTTCTTAGCTATATTTTTGAAATTTTCTTTCTGTAGTGTTTTCACTAGAGATTACAATATGAACATTTTACCTTATCATGATTTACTTCAAGTGAGTATTTGCCACAGCCCGGCTGGCTGGGCAAAATAACCTGGGGGAGGGGGCGGTTTACACGAACAACTTGTGTAGATTGATACAGCAGGAGTGGGAGCAGTTTATTGTAGGACCAGAGGGGTATATATACATTCCACACAGATTATCTTAATTAACATAAACTAGATACAGCAGTCAAGCAATAAGGAATCTCACACTTGGCGTTATTTCACAAACCACTCCCTCTGGCAAAATGCCAGGCGCCATCTAGACTTGTTTACAGACTCTAACATTTGCCAGGCACCATCCTGACTTGTTTATACACCTTAACAAGTATTGGTTTAATTCCAGTGAAATAGCAATTTTGTATCCATATAGCTCCATTTGTTCCCCACTCTGAATAACTGTAGTGAGTCTAAAATTTTATCCTACTTGCAAGTTAGCCTGCCATGGTTTAATGGATTCTGAAAGAGGACGTGAGGTTTCTGGGTCAAAAACAAAGGGTAATTTATTACAGCAATAGCATTAGCCAAGGCATCATCATATGTACCAATTCTTCTAGCCCTAATGCCCATAGGTTAAACCAACAAGGGACAATACAAATCACTAGAACAACATTTATGAATTGTGCCAACAGAATAGTGGTACTGTGGGCTGTTCTGAAATGTAAAAGTTTCATGAACAAATAAGTCTGAGAAATTGTACACCTATACTTACCTTATGTATTTCTACAGTATTCATTGGTATATTAAAAACTCTAAAAGCCTTACAAAAAAAGAGAGATGGTTAATTTTCTTAGAAGCAACAGTTCCAAAATTATTTGACCACAGAATCATCTTCTTTATCATAATGACTCTAAGAAGCAGTGTTCTACATTACTCACTTGGGGAAATACTGGTCTAGCGAACAGTAATTAAATGTTAACCATTTATTTTTAAATCATCATTCAGAAATATAGTTTGTATGGAACAAAAGTAGAATGAGTGTTATCCTTCCCAATTTTCCTAAAACCACTTGAAGTATTTGTGTTTTGTAAATGTTTGAAGTCAAGTGTACAAATATATTTATCTGTAAATTCTGTTTCCATTTGTAGGGGATGTGATCAACCTTGGTGACAGACAACTCACTGTTATGCACATGCCAGGTCACTCCAGAGGCAGTATTTGCTTACATGACAAAGACCGAAAGATTCTCTTCAGTGGCGATGTTGTATATGATGGATCACTGATTGACTGGCTCCCATACAGCAGGATAAGTGACTATGTTGGAACTTGTGAACGTCTAATAGAATTAGTGGACAGAGGTCTGGTTGAGAAAGTGCTCCCTGGGCATTTCAATACCTTTGGTGCTGAAAGGCTTTTTCGATTGGCTTCTAACTATATTTCAAAAGCTGGTATATGTCACAAAGTATCTACTTTTGCCCTGAGATCTCTTGCAAGTTTAGCCCTGCGTGTAACCAATTCAAGGACCTCACCCTAGTATCTATGCCTATAATCTATTTTGATTAACTATATACATTAATCCAATTCATTTTGTGCTGTTTAAAATGGTTAATAGTGTGCATTTCAAAAGTGCTTTTATACCACTGTTGTATATTAGAGGGGGAAAAAGATTAAAAATGAATAAGCCAAAAAGAGGAAAGTTTTAGTTTAATTTTTTTTCTTCCAAGTAAGTTATCACTTAAATAAGCTTATAATTTTCCAAAGGTATCATAATTTGTGCTCTAAAAATGCCGTAAGTATATAAAAGGACATGAAGAGGCATTTTGTAACACCAGAAAGAACTTTCCTTGCCCATTTTTCTTATTTTATTTCCTAGGTGACCATGAAAAAAGGCATCTAAAGCCTTGTGTTTACATGGTAAACTTGATTTTTTTAGTATATTATTTTAAGATAAAGGTTTTGGGGTTCAAAATGCATTAGAATTCAATATAAACATGTAAAATCTAATCATTTAGAATGACAGCCAAAACATCCCATGGTTATTGTCTAGAATTATTTAAGCCTCTTTCATTTTATTTATTCTGTTTGTAATTGTAGCATACATTATATGCTATATAATTTAACTTATGAAAAATTATAATGAATTTTGTTTTATTGCAAAGCTTTAAATATCAATTGCAGAGTACTTCAGTAAAAAAGCTACTATTTATTGTTGTCTGTTATTATGCAAGTAATATTTTCAGTCATAAAAGTGAAAATCAAATGTGTGTAATCTAATAACAAATTGTCAGATTTCTTAAAAGGACACTGTCAGGAAAATTTGAAAATACACATATTTAGAATAATTTTTATTATATCCTATTTTATTACTAACAGCTATTATAAACAAAAATTTTCTTCTTAAATAGCAACTTCAGTATTGTCATATTTTACAGTATCAAAACAACTACAGAGATCTATTACATCTTGATATAAACTATTCTTTTACCTAACATAATGTGTCTGTACCACAGAAGGATTTTCAAATTAATTGCAAAATGTCCATTAGATATTGATCTAGAATGAATGGCCTTTTTTATCCTGATTCACAACACCTATTCCTGTTCAGTATTGTTTGTCTTCAATGAAAATAAGTCTACATTCCTAAGTTATAGGAAAGGTTAAACCACTATTCAGTAAAATGTTTTGATTTGGTGCTCTTAATAATCATTTATTAAAAAGCCTTTTGGAGTATTAAAGGTTTTTTAAACATTTTTTCCACTAAATTTTTATTTTATTATTGACATGTCTAAAACCAAGCTGAAGATGCTTTGGAAATCAGATCTTTTTAATATTAGGAAGGTTTTTTTTTCTGTCAAATTATGTAACTTTTTCTACCCTGCAGACACCCAGAATTTTTAGCTTTTTATTCACACACACACACACACACATACACACACACACACAAATAAACAGAGTCATGTACATACATTCACAGCACTGTGGAATCTTCAAAAGTCAGAGACATTATAGCTGGAAATTGAAGGCACATGAAACATGAATAATAATATATACAAATTTATGTTTATATAAATTGCATATAAACATAAGGGACTTTATAAAGGGAGGAATGTGAAGTTTAGTTAGGAAAATTTCCTGTTAGGGTTTTTGAGTCAGATTTGGAAGGAAGATTTGTCAGGTGGTTAGGGTAGGAAATAAAAAGATACAAGAATAGGGATATAAGCATTGCTATATAGAATAGTCTATGCTTGTGACAATATAAATTTCCTTTTCAGGAATCCCATTTCTCCCAAGCACCATGTATTTAACATTAGAAAAAGAGATTTGTGATTGTGTATAAGAGTCATCCTTAATGCAGATGAGCTGAACTGTCAAATGCCACCAAATGAACCAGAGAGTCAGATAGAGACCAAGATTGGTTCAAATATAGAATATCATGAGAATTCTCTGATGGTCGTTCAAAGCAGTAGGTCTGTTTCAACTGACAGTACAACACGAAGAATATAGATTTGGTTCAGGGCAACTACAATCACTTAATAAGCCTTAAATATAGCCATTATTTTTATATCAGTAGCACAAAAGAAAACCAAAAGTCCTTAACCATTGACCATTTTTATCTTATTTTAGGAATTTTTTAAAAAATCAGAGTACAGTAGGCATTGAGTTTTATTAGAAAATATTTACTTTTCCCAAAGGATTTCCTTATTTACTAAAAGTGTTATTTTTCAGAACACATTAATATTATTTTTTAAGTTCCCAATTTTTTAAAAAAAATTTCAAACTGTAATACAACATAAGACTGTGGTATTTTGCTGTTGCTACAGTGTGAATAAAATGGAAATACATTAGGGAAAGGATATCATTCATTGATTATCCATGCTATCCATTTAAAATATGCATTATTTAATGTAATCCTGGTTCTAGCACCAAGAGGTAATTGACCAGCTTCACACAACAGGACAAAGCTGGTAATTGAACACAGGTCTGTCTACCCCTGAACTGTGTTCTTTCTTTTATACCTGCACAACACATAAAATTGGCAGTATATTTTTACTTTTCCAAGATGCCACATGTGCCAAGAATAAATCAGATGATATTGAAGCATAATAACGTATTTAAAAAAAAGCTTTTAAAATAAGATATTTTCACCCTGACAGTGACCCTTATTGTAATTTATGATTTGGGGAAATATTAGAATGTAAGTATGATTCAAAGTTGTTAAATGTAAGACATTTAGAAATAATTTTTATTTATATTGTTAATAATCTTAGGATATTCATTTTTCTTATATTATGTCTCTTTATGAGAATCTTAAATGAAAACCACATGTGTTATCCTGATGTAGTTGAATAAATAATTATATGTATTGTTCTTACATGGATAGTAATATGAATGTACTGCACAAATTGTCCTCTTATAATTTTCAGATAAATGTAAGTAAACATTTGTGTGATAAATATTAAAGTGAACATTTATTTCAATCTACAATTGGTATTTTTATGACATTAACAAATTGCTATTTCATTTCTTATATGAAATGCAATTTTGAAAATTTCTTGATGAATGAAGAGTCAAAGTCTGGGAATGAATAGACAACCTGGAAACAGAAAAGTACTTATATAAACCTTTATTTCTTAATTAAATAAGGCATTTCAAATCAATGGATAAAAGATTAACTATATAGTAAATACTACCATTGTTGATGTAAAAAAAAGGCTCTTACCATCATAAACATAAATTCCTGATAGATGAAATTTCTAAATGTGAAAAACAGAATTACATATGTATTAAAAAAAACTCAAATTATGTATCCTGTAGGGTGGGAAATATCTGCTTTATATAGAAACAAAAACAATTACAACATTTAAAATGCTTTAGAATTTAGATGCCACATGGAATGTTAAGAGAGAAAGAGAAATTAGAAGAAAATATTTACAACTTGAATAACAGGGAGGAAAAGAGCAAATATAAAGCATGCCTGCAAATCAGTAAGAAAAAGGTAAACTGCTCTAAGGGAGTTAAGACCTTTACTCTACCCTCTTAGGTTCTGTGGCTGGACCTGAGAATTAAACTGACAAAAGAAAGATTAATAAGAGAATATTATACAAATTTTATTTGATGTTAACATTTTTCCATGTATACAGATGCTTTCTTTTATAAGAAATTAACTCACAGAAGTAGAATAAGCCTGAGAGCTTATATACCATTTATCAAAGAGTAATACATTGTGAAGGTGTGATAAGACAAAAAAAGGGGAATTTTAGCTATGGGAAGTATATTGTGGGAAAATGAATAGAAAATACATGGGAAAACACAAGAGAAGAGAAGGGTTGTTTAGTAGGCATATGAAGTTTTTTAGAGGAAAATCACCCAATAGTATTTATATAAAAATTATAGGAGGAATTTATTTGATTATGTAAGAGGTTTACATGATTAGAAGCTGCAAAGTTTCATAGTGGCCATCTGCGAGTTGGAGAAAAGGAAAAAGCTGGTACTAGCCAGTAACTGCCTCGTCCAAGAGGCTGGAAGCTTCAAAACAAGAGGGACCAATGATGCAGTCCCAATCCAAGACTGAAGTACTAGGAGTTCCTTGGAGAGTCACTTGTGCTAGTCTGTATTCAAAGGCCTTAAGAATCTGGAGTGTGGTATCCTTCAATGGTGGCAGCACCAAAAAACTTTCACCAGCTCAAGAAGAATCAAGTTTGCAAATGCATGTATCTTTGATTTTCTTCTGATTTTCAGTCCATTCAAGTCCCCTGACTATTAACCTGTGGTGCCCACATTCAGGGCGGGTCTTCTTCCACTTAGTTCACTAACCCACATGCCATTTATCTCCAGAAACACCCTCATAGACACTGCTTTATCAATTTTTCAGACATCTGTCAATTCAGACAAGTTGACAACCAAGATTAACCATCATGGCAGGTTTGTACAGATTTGACTTAGTATTGACTCCTTATATCAGTGACAAGAATGTTCTCCTGGTATGGGGATGGAGGGCACCTCTTTCCTTGGAAAATGTGTGCTTTTAGGAACAAAAAGGAAAGATCAGAGAGGCCTTCCTGCATTTACTTTTTTTTTCAATTACCTTCACCTCAAAGTAATCTACATGCCAAAGTGGCATGTTCTTATCTCCTTCCCTGCTTATAAAAAAATGGATAAATTAATGAACAGATTATTTTACAAGAGGAGACACAATGGGCAAACATAAAATGATTCAGAACTTCACTATTAATTGGGGAAATATAAATTAAAATAATGAAATTATTTAACTAGATTTGAAAGTTTTGGCAATACAGAATATTGGTAAGGGTAAGTGGATATTTCACTTTGTACTACTGGCATTATGAACTGCTCCAGCCGGTTTGGGGGAGTAAATGGAGTATATTTGGTATATTTGGTCTTTGTGATAAGAATGGTAGTCTGAGCTGGGCATGATGACACATGCTTTTAATCCCAGCTACTGGGGAGGATGAGGCAGGAGGATTGCATGTTTGAGACTAGCCTGGGCAATTTAGTGAGACCCTGTATCAAAGATCAACAAGGCTGGGGGTGTAGCTTGCTGGAGTAAAGTGCTTACCTAGTGTGTGTTAGCCCCTGAGTTCAATGCCCAATGTTAAAAAAAAAGGGGGGGGGGTTGAATATACACACCTTTTCCTCTATTTTGTGAAACTCTTAATCAAATGACAGAAAAGCCTTTTTTTTTTTTAATGGCATAAATTCAGAGAAGCAAGAATGGTAAAGGAGACAACAGCGACAACATTTTGAATTCTTAAAAGCTGGTGGGTGAACGAAAACTGATTTGGCTAACCCAAAAAAGCTTAAAACTAGGCCGGGAAAGTGAGCTTACAGTGGCAACCCCCCTTAAAAGACTTAAGAGATACTAGACAACTCTAGGGGTGAGGGTAAAGGGTTTTATTTAATTCAAATTCTGTGTTTGATTTAGACTTCCAGATTCCTTCCTAACTCTTCACTGGTGTGCAATTTCCTCTTCCCTACCTCAGGGAATTTGATTTAGACTCTGTGTGTGTGTGTGATGCTAAGGATGGAACCCAGGATCTTGTGCATGTGAAGCAAGCACTCTACCAACTGAGCTATATTCCTAGCACTTTGATTTAGATTTATCATGAAGTAAAGCAATCTATATTTTTAGGATCTTGCCCTTGCAAGGACCCCTTCCAAAATCCTGGAAGGAGCCTAAAATATGAGTTCAAATGTTTTGTTTAATTTGTATAAATACATTATTTTCAAATTCTGTCTCTCAAAACCTCCAAATTGTATAATCTTTAGGCCCCACAAAACTGGGGTCTGCCCCTGACTAGAGGATTATTATGTAGGAGGATAAAGCTGAGTATCCTGTGTTAGTTAACTTTCTGTTACTGAAATAGCCAACATATCAGCTTATGAAGAGGATAGGCTTATTTTGGCTCACAGTTTTGGAAATTTTAGTCCATGACCAGTTGATCCTGTAGCTTTGGGCCTGTGGTGGCATAGGCCACCCACCTCATGATGGGAGAGTATCATGAAGGAGACCCATTCAACTTGTCTCTGAAAAGCGAGAGAGAAAGAGATTGGCATTCCCACAGCAAAGGACAGCTAAGTTAACACAGTAAACTTCAGGGTCATTTGATTTTACTGTCAGTGAGTTACAAGGGAAAAGTTGTCAAATGAGAAGACATTCAACTTTCCTTAGGTTAAATTTTTATGTGCTTCATGGGAATTTCCTAGAGTTGTCAATGTTTTGGTTTTCCATTGTAAGTGTTAGCTTCAGGTAAAACACTATTGTAAATGACTAAAATATATTCTTTTGACATCTGTATTTTCTAGAAGCCTGGAAGTGTTCTCCTTAATAATATCAGGTCATACTATATTATCATTAGTCATAATTTTAGTTATTTAAAAAAATGTTCGCTTGCCACAATATTATCTGAAACTAGCACTTATTATGGAGTTTTATATAAATACAGATGTCCATGATCAATACCAGACAAACTAAATTTCTTAATATTCTTGGTATATTTTTTTACATACTTTGTATATCATTCTTCAGGATGATTATATATGTCTCAAGATTCTGTCCTTTATAAAAGAATGTTTATCTACATATTTTGGATTAAAGATAACATTCACTAACTTTTTTGAAAATAATATTAATCACTGTCCCTAAATACATTTGTGCCTCTTTAAAAACTGACTTTATTGTTTTGTTTTGCATAGTAAAGAAACAACCAAATTTCATTATCAGTTTCACTAATATTAGGAGCTTCTATCAGACACTTTATGTTGGAAATTTTTCAGTAATAGATTAGCCACAACCATTTAAAGCCTCTGTCATCCATGGAAGGTTTTGTTTTACTCTGATACTTTCCTAACCTGGAGGTACAATTAACTGCATATCAGAGTTTGTCTTTAACAAAAAAGAATCAAGCCAGGTGTGGTATACACTTATAATCCCAGCAATTTGGGAGGGTGAGGCAGGAGGATTGCAAGTTTCAGACCAGCCTTAGCAATTAAGTGAGGTCCCATGCAACTTAGGGAGACCCTGTCTAAAAATAAAAAATAGGAAGGCCTGGGGATGTGGCTCAATGGTAAAACACCCCTGATTCTATCCCTGATAGAAAAGAAAAAGAAATAAGGATCATCTCAGAGCCCAATGGAAAGGTAGTACAGCAGCTACTTCAAACCATTGTTACTTCAAAGAACAGACCCTTGAGCATAAACTTCTGATGGGATTGCTTAAGCAACTTTCAGAGCTTACCAGTGTTTCAAGTCAAGATTCCAAAATCTTCTAGTTGCCAAACAGATGGTTTCTTAAGATTACTATCTCAAGAGAATTTTTTTTTTAATATTTATTTTTAGTTCTCGGCAGACACAACATCTTTGTTGGTATGTGGTGCTGAGGATCGAACCCCGGCCACACGCATGCCAGGCGAGCGCGCTACCGCTTGAGCCACATCCCCAGCCCAATATCTGATTCTTATTGACCACACCTGACCTCAACCTTCAGAAACTTCAATTGAGTCTTTTACTTTTCATGGTACTATAGTTATTTCCATTGTTTAAGTAAGAATCTTTCCTCCTTTTGGTCATGATATAGTTGAAAAAATTCATGATACAAACAAAGTCTTACATGTAATGTAATATTTGAGAATGGTGCTTTAGTCAGATATTACAATCCACTTTCAGGAAACTAAGAATGACTTTCCTTATGGACTCAGTGTCTTCAGAGTCCTTTCAAGAAAGCTGGCCTGTACCCATTTACAGGGTCCCAGACTTAGAGGAATGTAAGACCAGTAACATGAAGGTATTTTGGAAGCCTCAAGAATGAAAGATTCCCCAAGTTCATTGGTACTGCTTTAGTCAGCTTTTTTGTGGTGGTGACCATAGACCTGACAAGAATGATTTTAGAGGAGGAAAAGTTTTTTTGTCACTCACAGTGTCAGAGTTCTCAGTCCATAGATGGCCAGTGCCATTGCTTTGGGCCCAAG